CCAGAGCCCAGTCTCCCTCGCCTCTCCCGCGTGGCTTGGGGACCAGAGTAGGACTGGGAGTAGGACCTACATTCATCTGGACACCAGAATGTCACTCTCCTCGCCATCTGTTCCCTGCAGTAACTTAATCCCGTGCGTCCTGCTCTGCGCTCCGCCACTGTTGGCATCACCTTGAAAACAACCTTATGGCGTGTTCTTCAAATGAATGGCAGGCATGGGGACCCTGGGAGGTGATCTAAACTCATCCAGGCGCTGGAGTGTCACTCTCCTGATCTCCTGAGAACCTCTTCTCATCAGTTGAGTTCTACCCTACACGCAGTCAATTTTTTTTTGTTGTTGTTGTTTTGTTTTGTTTTGTTTTTCGAGACAGGGTTTCTCTGTGGCTTTGAGGCTGTCCTGGAACTAGCTCTTGTAGACCAGGCTGGTCTCGATTACAGAGATCCGCCTGCCTCTGCGCCCCCCTGCACCGAGTGCTGGGATTAAAGGCATGTGCTAACAACGCTCAGCTCTCAGTCACTATTTGTATCATCTTGAAAACAAGAAGCTTTGGTCTTACAAATGAATGGTAGGCACGGATCTCGGAGACAATGCTGGCTCCATAGTCAGTCTCGTTCTCCCTGGCCTTCAGGCCTCAAATTAGATGTCGCTCTATTCACCTGTGTTTCAGTGGACAAATGCCCATAGGGGCCTGCATTGTGCCCAGGCACAGCAGTTTAAGGCCAATCCCTGCGACAGGGGATGCCGAATGGGAGTGTGGATCTCTCCCCTCCCCCCCAAAAAAAAAAACGAAACAAAACCCTAGAGCAGAGTCGGAGAACACTCTTTAAAGGGAAAGAATCTGGGAAGGATTCTAAGAAGTGATGCCCATTCAAAGTAGACGGGAGAGTGCGCCTTGGCACGGGGAAGCAAAGATCCTGAAACTGGACTTGGGTAGCTGAGGGACAGGGATGACACATGAAACATAGAAAGGACCTGCAGAAAAGTGAAAAGGGCTGAGGATGGAGATCAGTTGGCAGAGTGCTTGCCTAGCATGCATAAAGCCTTGGGTTTGATTCCAAGCACCAGAGAACCCGGATGTGGTGGCATACCTTTGTAATAGCAGCAGCGGGTGAGGAGGGGTATCTGAAGTTTCATGACTTGTTTGGCTATGAAGCTGGAGGTACCGGGTATAGGCCACAGGGAGGAGAAAAAAAACAACACTAGCAGACCCTGACATGCATGCTGACTGGACCCAAAGTGCTGGTGAAGCCCAGGAAGTTGGCAGTACTTGATATACAAGAGAAACTTGATGAGATTGTATGAATATGCTATCATTTTTGTAACAAAAGATTACATTTTTGTTTTCTTAGAATTCTAGAGGACCAGAGTCTGCAGTGGGTGTTTCACTGTGCTGAAGTCAAGGTGCTGTTCTGGAAACTCTAGTAAAGAGCTCTAGCCCCTTTTCAGTTCCTAGAGGCCTATGGATGGCACTCCTGGGTCATGCCTCTCCTCTATCTCCAGAGCCACCATCTCTTTCTCCTTCTGCATGTCTGTGACTGAGGTCTCCATCACCACTCCTGCTCTGACTCCTTCAGGAGAGCCCTGGTGACTGCATTTGAACCAGTTGGACAATCCAAGTGGGTCCTTGGTCACACTCAGAGATTCTTAGTGGTTTTCCAGGGAGGTGGCAATAGTCATAGGTTCCTGGGGACAGAGAGTAGATATTTGGAAACCCATCGTTATACCTAATACCTACGTCAGGGAGAAAGGAAAAGGGGTGTGAGCATGGATTGACCTTCTCTTGCCTTGGAAAATACTAGGTGATCTAAGAGTTTCTGCTTTTTTTTTTTTTTTTTTTTTTTTTTTTTTGAGATAGGGTTTCTCTGGAGACTAGGCTGGCCTCGAACTCACAGAGATCCGCCTGCCTCTGCCTCCCAAGTGCTGGGACTAAAGGTGTGTGCCATCAATGTCCAGCGCTTCCTTTAACTTCTAGAATAGTGGTGGAAATTTTTCGGGTTTCTTCTCTGGGTACTGCACCAGAAAGGTATGTCTGCTGGGGAACTGTTTTATGTCCCTGCTTCCCAAGTGCCAGGATTAAAAACATGCATCACCATTCCCAGCCCTTATTCTGTTTTCTTTCCTCTGGTACCTTGCATAGGTCTGAGGCACATACTGTCCTATGATCTCTATGAGTTTCAGGCCAGCCTGGACTATGTAGAGAGTTCTAGTAAGAACAAGAGAATAAGACCCTGTCTCCAAACAACATGATCTGCCCACATGCTGACAGCCTGAACATCAATTTATACCTGTAACTAAATGCAAACTAGCCTTTAGTTAATACATTAAAAAAAATTCTGCTGCCGATGGTGGCACACCTTTAGTCCCAGCACTCAAGAAGTTGAGGAAAAGACAAACAAAAAATTGGAAGAAATCAATAAGTCCCACAGAGAAAGCTTTCTGCCTTTTCTCTGAGGAGGCAGACAGGTCTCTGTCTCTCTCTCTCTATCTCCTCTCTCCCTTCCCTTCCCCATAATAAAACTTCCCACTTAAAAAAAAAAAAAGCCAAGAAAAAACACACAGGTAAAGGAAATAGTTCAATACCTGAAAACTGAAACAGAGGCAATAAAATACAAACCAAGGGGATTCTGTAAATGGAAAATCTGGGGAAGAGAACAGAAACTACAGGTGCATCACCAGCAGAATATAAGAGATGGAACAGAGATTCTCAGCTATTGAAGATATGATAGAGGAAACAGATTCATCTGTCAAAGATATTAAATCCGATAAATTCCTAACACAAAACATCCAGAAAATCTGGGACATCATGAAAAGACCAAATCTAAGAATAATAGGGATTGAAGAAGAAGAATCCCAGCTCAAAGGCAACAGAAAACATATCCAACAAAATCATAGAAGAAAATTTTCCCAACCTAAAAAGACATGCTGATAAAGGTACAAGAAGTTTACAGAACACCAAATAAAAGATAAATAAAAGCCCCCTTGCTGTTGGGCCTAAAAAGGCTCTGATTCGAGGCCCAGTGTAACCTCCTGAGCCTAGCTAGAGTTTGGCAACCTGTCTCTGGCCTACAACCTCCATGTGGGGGTGACTCGGCAAGGCCTGATGTAAGACTGCCCCCTGCCTAACTACCTGCCAATTTGGTGGCATATTATTGCCCTTATGTCACCTTACCCCATTCTAAGATTCCCATTCCATACCTCAGCCCTATATAAGTTCCTGCTTATTGGAATAAATTGAGATCCTGCTTTGACAAATCTCCGGACTCTGTGTATTTTCTCCCTGTTAACCAGAAGGGGGAGGGAGGGTCTGAGTCATCAGATACTCACCATCCCGCTCAGCCTGGGGAAGAGACCAGTGGGACTGGCCCTTTCCCAGCTCTTCCTTCCCCAGCATCTTGCACAAGCGGATCTCTGTGAGGCCAGCCTGGTCTACAAAGCTACACAGAGAAACCCTTACACAGAGAAACCCTGTCTGGAAAAAAAAAAAAAATGGGTACAGATGTAAATAGAGAATTCTCAACAGAAGAATCTCAAATGACCAAAAGAAATTTAAGGAATTGTTCAACATCCTTAGCTATCAGAGAAATGCAAACTAAAATGACTCTGAGATACCAACTTACACCTGTCAGAATGGCTTAGATCAAAAACACCAATGACAGCCTATGTAAGAGGATGTGGAGAAAGGGGAGCACTCCTCCACAGCTGGTGGGAATGCAAACTTGTACAACTGCTTTGGGAATCAGTATGGCAGTTTCTCAGAAAATTTGTAATCAACCTCAAGATTCAGCAATACCTGGGGCCTGGAGAGATGGCTCAGAGGTTAAGAGCACTGACTGTTCTTCCAGAGGACCTGAGTTTGACTCCCAGCACCCACATGGCAGCTCACAACTGTCCAGTTCCAGGGGATCTAATACCTTCACATCAATACACATAAAACAAAGTTAAAAAAAAAAGTTTCAGCAATACCACCTTTGGGCATATACCCAAAGGATGCTCTATCATACCACAAGGACACTTGCTCAACTATGTTCATAGCAGCTTTATTAATAATAGCCAGAACTTGGAAACAACCTAGATGCCCCTTAACCATAGAATTGATGGTTAAGAAAATGTGGTACATCTACACAATGGAGTATTACTCAGTGGTAAAATACAATGACATCATGAAATTTGCAGGCAAATGGATGGAACTAGAAAAAAAAAATCATCCTGAGTTAACCCTAACCAGAAAGACAAACATGGTATGTACTCACTCATAAGTGATATTAGATGTAAATCAAAGTGATATTAGATGTAAATCAGGCTACAATCCTCAACCCCAGAGAAGCCAGGTAACAAAGGAGGACCCTAAGAGGGATGCATGGATACGGAAGAGGAAGAGGAAAGAGATATGTCCTGGGTAAACTGGGGGAGGGGGTTAGAAGGGAGGGAATGGAGGAATGGGAACATGAGGAATCAGGATGATTGAGTTATGGGTGGGACAGAGGGGGAGAGTAATGAGATATCTTGATAGAAGGGGTCATTATGGGGTTTGGGAGAAACCTGGTGCCAGGGAAATTCCCAGAACCCACAAGGATGACCCAGCTAAGACTTCTAGCAATGGTGGAGAGGGTACCTGAATTGGCCTTTCCCTGTAATCAGGTTGGTGACTACCCTAATTGTTATCACAGAGCCTTCATCCAGTAACTTATGGGAGCAGATGCAGAGATCCATAGCCAAGCACTGGGCCAAGCTCCAGGAGTCTAGTTGAAGAGAGGGACTGACAAGTAGGGGTCAACATGGGACTGATTTAGGTTCTCTGCATGTGGGTGACAGTTGCATAAGTTGGTCTTTTGTGGAGCCCTAGCAGTGGGACCAGGACCTATCCCTGATCCATGAGCTGGCTCTTTGGATCCTATTCCCTAAGGTGGGATGTCCTGCCCAGCCTTGATGCAAGGGGGAGGAGCTTGGTCCTACATCAGCTTGATGTAACATGCTTTGTTGACTCTCATAGGAGGCCTTACCCTTTCTGAATGGAGATGGAGGAGGAATGGATAGGGGGTGGGGTAGAAGCGAGGTGGGAGGAGAGAATGGGAGGAGAGGAGAGATAGGAAATGTGGTATGTATAATAAATGTTTAAAAATTGCAAAAAAATTTAAAAGAATAATAGACCGATGGTGGCTCACCCCTTTAACCCCAAGACCCAGGAGGCAGAGGCGGCAATCTTAGTTTCAGGCCAGCCTGATCTACACTGAGTTCCAGGTCAGCCAGGGCTACACAGAGAAACCCTGTGTTAAAAAACTAAAAGAACCCGGGGCTGGAGAGATGGCTCAGAGGTTAAGAGCACTGACTGCTGAGTTCAATTCCCAGCAACCACATGATGGCTCACAACCCTCTGTTATGAGATCTGGTACCCTCTTCTGGTGTGCAGATATACATGGAAGCAGAATGTTAAATACATAATAAATAAATAAGATTTAAAAAAAACTAAAAACTGAGAATAAAAAATAAAAATCCTAAAAAAGAAACAAAACAAGGTCCAAGCTTGTTCCTAATTTGAAATAATTTTAAAAAATCGAGGTCAGTGTGAGAAGTGGCCAACCCATGAGGAAGCACGCCAAAGAGTACAGGGTGTGAGAAAAGGCAGGGATGATGATCACAAGAAAAGAGGTGGAGACAACATTGTAGGGAGGAACCGTCCAGAAAGCCAAAGCCTAGCACAGTTGAGTCTGTTTACACCAGTTCATCAGGTAACTTTCTCCACAGTTGAAAAAGGAGCAGCTTCAGAAAGTACTGGCTTCCTGATGGCAATTAAGTAAATTAGGAGCCCATAAGCAGTAGAACAACTTTACACACTGAGGAGCTGTGTTTTATGCACAGAACCCCTTCTAAAAATGTTTTGTTTTTCTGAGACTTGGGCAATAGAGGATTGAGGATTAGGAATTCGAGATAATCCTTAGCTGCATAAAATGTGAGGCTACACCAGGCCTACAAGGAAGAAAGAGAGGTGGAGTTGAGAGACAGTCACTCTTGAGGGCAGAAGCCCCAAGTGGGATATTGCAGATTGAATGTAAAGTTAAGGTTATAGGAAAGGAGGACATTAAGAAAAGTGAAGTAAACAAGTTCAACATCAAAATGTTAAAGAGTGTTTGGTGGAAAATATTTCCTCATCAAACCCTTAAAGCTTTTTACAGAGTTTTCCAGGAGTACCCTGGTGCTTCTGATATTTACAGACAGTCCAGCTATGTACCACAGTTTGCCTTCAAACTCACAACTCTCCTGCCTCAGCCTCCCAAATGCAGATAATGCTAACTTATAAGACCGTGATAATTTTTCCCCATCACTTGTTCTGGAAATTGAACTTAGGGTCCACATACAAGGCAAGTACCTGATCACTGAGCTATATACCAAGCCAGCTTTTTGGTTGTTTCTGGGTACCAAACTCAGGTCATCAGTTGTGTGAGGCAGTTGTTTTCACTTTTACTATTGGCTAGCTCATACTGATTTTTGAAAAGATTTTATGTGCATGATTATTTTGCCTGTACAAATATAAGTGTGCCATGTATGCATGCAGTGCCCCAGGAGGTCAGAAAAGGATCACCCAGAACTTGAGTTACAATTATGAGCTACCATGTGGGTGCTAGGAATTGAACCTGGGTCCTTTGCAAGAGCAGCAAATGTTTGTAGCCACTAAGTCATCTCTCCAGATCCATATTGATATTTTTCATATGTATGTGTCTGTATGTGTAAGTGTGGGTTCCCACAGGAGCCAGAAGAGACCACTGGATCCTCTGAAGCTGGTTACAAATGACTATGAACTCCCACCACGTGGATGCTGGGGACAGATGGTCCTCTGGAAGAGCAATAAT